CTTTAAACAGACTTTAAGAGAGTCAGCATTCTCAAAACTGATGATAATTACAATCATGTTTAAAAGCGAAGCCTCTTAAATACTTTAATGACTTTGCTTCCACATTATGATTCCAATGTTTACTAGCTGCTAGCTGCTAACATAAACAAAGGTTAGACCTGGGTCCTACATTAGATAATTAGAATGCTTGATGTTACTGAACAGCCTGGGGTTCAGGAGAACTGGACTATTTCACGGGAGCCGTTAGATGGTATGATCACTGTGACACTTTTAGCAAGTGCAGGAGATGAGCTGTGCTGTAGTATCCCCCCCTTCCCGAAAAATGAGTCTTCAGTATATTACAAATTTCTGGCAGCTGTCCACAATAAATCATTTTATTTTAATTTGTTGCTCATGTCAAGCCGTATTAAACACCACACAGTACAAACCAGAGATCCAAAAGACTGTATGTCAGCAACAGTAGATGCGTTAAAAAAAGTACACTTTTTAAAGTTTTTCTGGCAAGCTAGACAATCCTGGCGATATGTGATTATGTGCATGCTGTGCACTGGAGTATGTACAGTATGCAGGAGTATTTCAAATAAGTTAACAGGGTTAACTTGGTTGAAAACAAGTTGCCCCAGCAGGTTGGAATAGGGAGAGCACTGTGCCATCATGGTTGGCTTCAACATTAGGAGTACGCCACCTGTTTGGGTCAATATCAAGCATGACGTTCAAGATGACGAGCCTGTTGTGAAAGTGGCCAAACTCTCGAGTGCTGCTGTCACTCACTAGCCTGGCCATGGCAGGCTGTTGGCTGAAAACAGCCTGGTTTGTCAAGACAGGCTGTCATCCTGCTGCATGGTAACACTAGGCCACACTGCCAGGAGCCCCTGAGATTGTCAATGGTGTTGTAGGTGGGAGGTTGTTGTATTTAGGGCTTTAAAGAAGCACCTGCCCAGCACAAGTTTGTCTAGCCAATGGTAAAGTACCACAGGCAGTTTTCACAGGAGAACCTGATATTGCATTTTTGCCAGAATCGATGTGCAGGTGCTCTGGTGAGACACATGCCAGAACAGGAAGTCCAATGTGTACCAAGACCCTACTATTAATAAAATGGATTACCATTACATTATAATACATTATCAGATAACAAGGGATCCTGTTTTATTACAAAAAGCCTACTGTACCTATTAAGCATTAAACAGATTTCAAATTTGTATTCAATTCAGTATGATCATTCATGGTAAAAACATATTTCATCTTAAACAGATCACAAACTAGAAAATCAGCAACCATCAATGTGAAGAAACATCCTGATACACACTTGGATATACACTATACTGTAGTATTAAATACAAAGAATGCTATTTTATTTTTTGAAAACAAGGTTTCCATTGTAAAAGAACGTCATGCTTTTACCAAATGTGTAATTAATATTTTGTTTAGACGTCACCAGTTATAATATTAACCTCCATTTAAATAATATACTGGGTATGTGGGCAGATTTGATTTGCATCAGCAGATTATAATGTATCTGGAAAGAGATTTTCTGTAACAGTTCTAAATTCTGTACATCATTAATAAAAACCAGACTTTTCCTTCTGCAAAGAAAGAGTATTCATAAACAGTTATAATCCAGTACACTTCACATGCTTCATTTGTATATAACAACTGTTAAATTAATTAAATTCAATTTCTCTGAAGGTCAAAGAGCGATAGAAAATGGAAATTATTCTCAGATGGTGTCTTCGGGGTATTTTTGAATCTGTGAAACTCTTCAGATAAAAAAAAAAGTTAATATTACAGCCTTTGAACTTAAATACATATTTGTTTCTGTAACTGAGAATAATATTAAATACAATTTCTTACCAGAGCTGTAATCAAGACTCTACAGTGTAAATCATTTACTGATGCCACTTTTCATCCATTTCTAAACAAAGAGTGACAGATCCCATTAATTCTAGAAGGTTACAGCTGACTTGCAGTATGTACAATCTCTCTCAAATACAAGATCTTTCTCTGTTCTGCTGTAGGACATCATTCTTAGCTCCACCCATGGTTAGCATAGAGTACCCAGAGATGTGTTTGAAAATGTATGCACAGTGCAAACAGACTGAAGGCCTGATCTGCATACAGGTGGGACGGTTTCTCTCAACTTCATAGCAAAACGAATAACACCTGCATATATTCTACTACCCTGAAATCCCTTATTATTGCCATCAAAATCTACTGCATCGACCTGTGAGCCCAAAGAAATTCAAATTCTGTTAACCGGAACCCACATTACATTTAATTATTTTGCATGGGTTGCATCTAACAGCAACAGTCGTATGGATACACTGATGTGAAATCCCCACACATTTTAAATAAAACACCAGACCAAACACAAAATCAAAATGTTTTTTCTTAGCTACACTGTCATGTCTTAAAGACCTTCAGAGCCCGAAAAAAAGAACAAAAATGACACAATGGACAATTCCATTGAATGAAAATTCACAATCCTCGATATTTTTAAAGCCAACAAGCAGTAATTCAAATCTGTAGATGAAGTGTTACTAAGACAGCGCCATATGGTCATTTGAAAGCCAATTACTTTGCTTTCAACACGGGTCAATAATAAAATCTGGTATTGTTCGGCCTGCTTTTTTTTAGTTTACATTACCTGCAGCCACACCATGTAATGGTTTCTGCGATGTAGGATTTTAGCTTCTCTAGAAACTATCTCCCAGAAAATGACTAGCTTTCAAAGGTTAGGAGCCCAGCAAAAGCAAAGAGCAGAGACACTTGCCTCATTTTGTTTTTCTTGAAAAGAGAAATTAAGAGTCCATGAAGTATGAAAGACTGATCCCCCCCCCCCCCCCCCCCCATCCTCCAGAGACAAGAGCTCACTGTCTTATTGAGGGACGTGTCATGGCTGATGTTCCCCAGCGCTGATCAAGCACCCCCCTACCTCCACCAGACGGATTAACGACTACAGGCATCAAATGGTGCATTACTGTCTGCATCCATCTAATACAAGCCATTTTCAGTTTGGCCAAGAAGCATGGCCAAATGGCACAGAGAGGATTCTCACTACTCCCAACAAATTTCAGTCCTTCAATTTAACAGCGGGAGAACCATGCAGAGGTTTTGTAATTCAATTGGACCAAAAACAATTTGAACACCATATTGCTGGATAATTGCAATGCAGGATCTCCTAGGGTAAAGCACGAAATAACACCACCATTCACTTTCCTTTGCCAGAACTGAGATGCAATGCACTACAGGGATACGAGGTTCCCTAAGGAACAATTTACATAAAATTCCCTTCCAGCAAAACTCCAACCAACAAGCGGGGAAAAACAGATCTAATCAATTGCTTTCAGCGACTATGATCTACAGTACATTTTCAATTTGGGAGATTAGCTCACCTCTGCCAGTCACTGTAAAGAGCTTTGTTTTGCACCAGACATTTGAACATCTTTCTTTCTTTTTGAAGCAAGGTGTATTTCAGATTCAAGTTTTTAGTAATCTATTGTAAACAATATATGACACGTTAATTGTGATAACAGCATCTAATCCTGTCGTTCTGGCAAGATGCTCGCTTCCCATAAGACTTTAATTAAGGGCAAACTGGTACTCTATAAATGTTTACAACGATAATAGATGATTTTAGCGCAAGCCAACCTGTCACCAGCAGAACAGAACTCATGTACTAAAGACCTGGGAGGCTGAGTCACAGCTTCAGCCTGGGAAGCATTTTTCCTAGAACAGTGGATAAAAAACAATACATTGTAATCAGGAAAATCATTACACGTAAATTGGGTAGCTAAGCATTATCACTCTAAAACCAATACAAGTTTAGCTTTTGGGCTACCCATTTTCAGAAAAATCTTCATTTCCTTCATTTTCCAGATACAGTATGGTACTCTAACTGCTGAGAGCAATACATACCGGCACCATCTCTGCATGTCCTCCACCAAGATTTGAGACTACTACTCATGCACTGAGGGAATTGTGTCTTCTTTCCTGCTGTACCTACCCCAGTTCAGACGCTTCCTCTATCCTTGCATCAGTCTTCACCGTCTCTAAAGATAGCTTAGGCATATACCTGTATTACTATTCACAGCCTCTAAAACTCGTAACAAAATAAAAAGATTCCATTACCGAATCAAACGTGGCTCAAAAAAACATTTCATTACACTTTGCTACTTGATTAGCATGCTTCTGCTCTTAAAACTCCTGCCAGAATCATTATTTCCTATTTTGTCTAAAACCTTTATCATTACTCCATTTTACTAAAACCCTTAATATTCAGAGGCACTTAGTATTTTAGGAAATTTGCCTGCACTGCAGAGGTTTTGAGAACTGAAATATCCTTCTGAATGCATATGACAATTTGAAAAGAGCAGCACCCACATTCCAAAGCAACAGACAAGCATGCCTCCAATTGTACATTGAAGAATAGCTTATTACAAAAAGGACTTGGAAGTACATTCAAGTATGTTCTAAGATTGCTCATCTAAGAACAAGAAAAATAATGTAGCTCTGGGTGGTTCTTTTTAACACTTCACAAATCATACATGTTAAGCTTAAAAAAAGCAAATAAAACCAAAAAACATATCGCAGCGCAGAATGTAGACAGAACAGCAGCTGTTCATGGATAAACATGTTTGTTCACATCAATTTAAAAGTTTTCCAGTTCTGCTCATTTGCAGTGGTGCCGTTTGAAGCTGCTAAGATGTATGATTTTGCCTGAATGATAGTACAGCATTTTATAAGCTTTCTTTTATAAAAAAAAACATAGGAAAACACTAGTGGCTCAAAGATCTAAATTATATCTCTACAGCTTGTGTATGTGTTATCTTGACATATTGTGTTTGCACCAGTTTTGAAAAAAAAAACTGCAAGATGTGATTTTGCAAGCAGTGACACTAATATAATGCCCTTCATGTGCTTCATGTGACCTGAGCGGCAGCTGTACTTCTCCCACAGTTCTAACACATTCATTTAATGGAACAAAAACAAAGCACAAGTAATACACTGTAATTCAAATTTATTGACAAGGTCTATAAAGCAGCACACTCGCAAGTCTTGTACAATCTTACAAACAAGAGTGTGAAGGCAGTCAACGATTTAGCTCGCAAAGAACAAAACAAAACAGAGTTAGTGGTGGTGGTGGGGGGAAGCAAATGCATTATTCCTTCACAGAAGGATAAAAATATTCCTATCTGACCTCTTAAAATGACCGAATAGTGCAACCTTTACAAAATTACCAAAAAAGGGCACACAAAAATAAATTAAGGATTTGAAGCAAATCGATAGATGTGTTCTAAGTTGAAATGGAATTCTTAATTTTTCATCCTTTCTTAATTATGTAATCTCATTTAGTGTAAAATCTTTGTATTACCTATTTTTTCCCAATGTCCTGTATTGCTCCAGTATATGGCTAAAATCCAGAGAGTGTTGGAAAATCTGCAAGTCTGTCTCTTTAGTCCTTTGCACCCCAACGAGACATTTTAGGCAAACAGTCAAAGCCAGATTCAGTTTTCATTGTATACATATATAAAACCCTAACCGATACAATGCAGTTTTTTTTTAAACAAAGGAAACACTTTTTATTGGCATTAAGGAAGAAAAGAAAACATCGCATCAACCTGGCAGTCACCACGTTGAGAGTATCTGCCACAAGCACCGGCTTGTTCCTGACGAACTGCAACATAATTAGCATTCGCTCTGTTGAAGTGTTGAGGCAGATCGAGGTTGTTGTTTAATAACTCTTTTCCCTTGGGATCCTTCCGAAGAGTTGCTCAGGAGGTGCTCGTTTGCAAGCCTTTAGAAGCTGCCAGCATAGCTCGCACTTTGGCCATCAAATCCTGGGGGACAGAAAGACAGAGGAACATCCGTTTTGAAGAGGAAAGAAAAGTTCCTAACCCTTCCAAAACAGCTTTTAAAAGATTCTAGATTTGCTTCAGGTCCAGGGTTCACTGAGACACAAAGCCCACAAGGTAGACACTCCACAGATCAAATGAGTGCCAAAGAGAGATTTACATTTCTGTGTAAAAGACATTTAGTGTGTTTTTACTTCTTAATGCAGTCCTACGGTGACATACTGAAATTCTAGCCATTTTATTTTTATTTTAAAGTTAATGCTGAATAAATGTATTCTGCACTGCAAAGCTAAGGCCTTTAGCTTTATGGATTTGTAGAGAGCAACAAATGATATTAATAATGATGAACACCTGACAAGTCAATTAAGTTGAGTCAATTAAATTTGATCGGAAAATATAATGGATTAGCTACAAGAAGACTTCATATTGACTGCTAATGTTTAATTTATCTTGAGTTGATGCACTGAAATTTCTGAAGATAAAATAAATTGATCAATGAATTAAGCACTGCTAAATGGCAGTGTTTCTTCTCACCCACTCTGAGCTCTATTAATAACAGCCACAGTGCTTTAATAAAGGAAACTTTTAGTGGAGGCTTTGATTTGTTAATGCTCATAACATACATACATTGTAACTCATAGTTGTGTCCAAGATGTGAAAGACATTGACATAAGCGTATCTATTTTCTGAGAAGTATAAATGAACATCCACCCTAACTTAAGTCAACAGGATCAAGACGTTCAAGAAGACAATGTGGTAGGTAACAAGACATTTTTCAATGTGAAGATCATGGCTTTGAATGTGATAGTGTGTCTGAGACACAATCATATCTACATGTTTATGAAACAGTACTTGAGAGAAGAACAACAGCATGTTGTACAATAGCTTCTAAATCAGGACAGAGATGTCAAAATAAAACACAATAGTCTTAATATTTCCTTAAGACCACACAGCAGTTCCACGTGTAATATATGTACACAAGTGGGAGTTCTGTGATAGATAAGAGGATGGAGCCTCCACTTCTTCTAATTTAACATTTGTGAATCATCCAAGAAGTAAGGAACAACTGCCATCATAGCAACCCACAAAATACACAGACTTGCTTTAATTCCAAACACATCCAAAGTAAAGCCATAATTCACTTTAAACATGAAAAAAAAACTTTCTCTGAAACCTGTGGCTTGGTTTAATTCTGCTATTAGTGTCTTTTTAAGAGGCATGCTAACAGACAGGAAATAGAGATGCAAGGATTTTACACTTAAGCAACATGAGGAAAAGCAGACCTTAAGCAATCCATATTACATCAGCTTTTCACTGGAGAGATATGCTAATCTTAAATCTAAAGAAAAGAGAGCTGCAACATTCATTTTTCTAGAGGGTTAATCCTAGAATCATCCATCAATGACACACTGCAAGATTTTATGTGTACAAAAAAAAGTTTTTCTCATAATCGGGTATTGGGTTATCTTTCAAATCTGTCAGTAGTGGACAGCTTAATGCATTTCCAACTATTTATGCTAGTAGGCTTAGGAAACATTTTTACAGCAGGCATATACTGCAGGCCTCATTAGATGGGTAGTTTGACTTTGGAAAAATTCCAAGTTACGGATAGCACTTGTTAGTTAGATATTCAGTATTTCAGAAAGACATATAATGCAAAATGAAACCTTCGCCCTGAAATCAAATCATACTGTAAGATACTGGTAAGGAACATTTGTACATATATGGATTTTTTGGAAGGAAATCAATCAGTGGTGTCATATATCCTTAAATTGCTGTTGGGTCCTGTTGATCCAATTCAAGGAATATAATTAGTAATTAAACTAAGCAAAAGAGTCAAGCCATCTTTAACAAGAATTCATCACAATCAAAAGATGTAAACAAACCCTTAGAAATCTGCTCTATGCTCCAAAATCCCTGAAATGGAAAATACTCAAATACTACATTAAACTACGAAAGCATTAAAACATACCAGGTCCAGGTAAATGAAAGCATAAATCCTCCAGTTAATAGCGGGAATAAACTGCCTTCGTCCACAGAACTGTGAGCTTCAAATGATTCACATTCTTATATGCGTGACTAACATTTATCTGCAATTTACTTGGTACCTACCTCTAAACATGCTTCCTTGGCAAAGCAAGAAGAGTATCTACTCACAAAGGTTCAGTTGTGACTCTTTAATGCTCCTTTGAACAGTTTTATTGGAATGAGCAGTAATAAAGCCATTTGAGGGAACCATTAAAACACTAACACACAACTCATGCGACTGCCCACAAATGAAAGTATTTCAGGGGATTTAACTACCCAGCCACGTTAGTTATGAGCCTGAAAGAGCACACTTCGAACATTTTAAGTATTCAGAAATGCCTGCTCATTCCTTCTGCCTTGCATTCGAATTCCTACAAATTACTATGGTTGTGAAATAACATGCCGTGAACTGTAGCAGTTCAATTATTAGCTTTTACAGTAGATCACTGTGTCCCATGGACCTAAATAAAGAAAAGGCCTATCTTTTTCCCCCTTTTAAATTTTATTTAAATAAAATAATGTTGCAAGCATTGTGATGACCATCGATTCAATTATCAAAGAATCTAAAAAAAAAAAACCAGAACAAAAGGGACTAAGAATATAACTTTGAGGCTTGAGGCTTTGCATGTTTGGCAATGTAGCATATTCATGATGGTAAATAAAATTTGTTTCACACGAGAAGATGGAGACCATTTATGATATGCAGGATTAAAATTAAAAAACATCATATAAATAAACCACAGCTACGTTAGCAATTCCACAGGAACAGGGAAAACTATTACCGTAAATACAGTAATCACATAATCTGTGAAAAAAGAAGGACTGTAAAGGCAATTTCATTTGAGGGAATCTCACATTAATCTTTCCTTGTCATCATCATGTTATTTTACATCTGGGAGTAGGGCAGAGGCATACCAGAAAAGGCCGTTTTGAGATCAATGGTAATCCTGATTTAATAAGAATATTTACTGTATGTTTTCAAGAGACTATTCAGTATGAAATGCCAGCACTCTTCACAGTTAGAGATGATTTTCAGAGGTTACTGCACCAATTTTTTATGCTCTTCAGCTGGAAATGGGATTTATCCATTGCTTGAGGTCAATACTTTATCTCAGCTGCAATATTGAGCTTTTAGGATAAGGTTCACGAATGAAAACTATTGACTGAAGAAATCTAAAAACCAGCTGTTTTACGTACTTCAGGCAAGTGAAACTGTGGTCGAAGCTCTTGGCCAACTTTATCTTCAATTTTCCTCTCTCCATATCACAGTTGCAACAAGTTAAAGAACACATGCTGAATGTGTCCAGAGATAAAGTGTTATGCTTCAAAACCTTTTAATCATATTAACAGCATTTTAATCAGATCGCTCCCTGCCTTTTCTGCAGATAAAGTCTCAAATAAATGGGATTTATACCATCACTGAGTATAGATTTTATTGTATACAAAGCATTGGAGATGCTAGTTTGCCTGTGGATGAACATGAGACCTACACTACATCTCTATAAGTGGACCCACAATGTGCTTAAGAAAACTTAAAATAAAACTGACCAATAAGTTTGATAGCTAATGGTAAATTAATAATGGGAGAAAATGTGATGTTACCTTAAATAATTAAACTGTCAAACTATCAATCATGTGTCATAGTGTACTTTTATGGACAAAGCTCCCTTACTGAATCTTAATTTAAGTGGGAAAAATAGTTTGTTCTACTCCCTCAAGCAAACATTGAACTATAAAGCTGAACACATTTGCTTGCCAAGGAGATGCCTTACAGCACAGCTGATGGCTAGTTTCTAATCCCATAAAGGCAAATGTACTTTAATCACATACAAAACCTTAGGCCCACCTGGATGCCTGACGGATTTTCGGCAGGCAACGAGCACTAATGTTTTCAACTTTTAGATCGAACTGCTCCAGCCTCGGTATGCTCCAGGTAGTGCTAAATCTTTGAACCAGTATACTCATTTAACAGAAACTGAACCTGTTCACTGCAAACATGTCCAGGCAAGGCAAGGCTAATTTCTCAAATAAAAACTGGATCCTAAACTGCACTGGGAAGTGCATTTGAAGTGTTTCTGCACTGAGCTGTACTTCATGGTGATGGTGGATGAAGACTTTGCTAATCACTTCACGGTGCCTAAAAAAAAGTCAAACAGCCCAAAATCATGACAAATTAAATCAGAATTTATTTGACCTTTATTTACACATTGCAACACACATTCTCCAAGTGACAAGCAAATGCTCAAACATTCTGAAAAGTAATTAAAAATGGAAACAAATAGAAAAATAGGTTGGATAAGTGTATACACTCCTCAGTAACAGCAACTGTCAATTAGCTCAGGAGTAACCAATAGCCTTCCAAATCACAAAACAAGCTTACTTCGTACACTTATCCAAACCATGTTTCTCTATTTTCATTTGCAATTACTTTTCAGAATTTTTTGAGCATTTGTTTTTCATTCTGAGGTTGTTTGTGACAATGAGTAAGTTGAATCCAAAACCTTACAACTTACAAAAAGTTACTATAATTCTTTGAAAAATCTGAAATGGGAATGCCTTCAGCCTCCACTTGCTGCAGTCATCTGGGAAGAGCCCTGTGACTAGCTCTATACATCACAGGAGAAACTGAGCATGAAACAAAGAACACCACAGTGGACTGGTGTTGTAAAATAAACTCGCAAATACTGCGTGGCCATTTGGGGTAGGTCTCAGCACACTGCAATCCTTACAATGTTTGTTACAACATTACAGAAAACATATTGCTGTACTGGAATTAGTCCAGAGAAGAATAACCAGGTACAAACTGGGACTAAAGGAAATGTCTTTCAATCTTGAAAAGGGAGAAGTATGAGGGGACGTGATACAAGTATTCAAAATCCTCCAAAGGAAGTGGCAAAGTCAATAGAGCAGCTTCAATCAGAGCAAGCTAAAGAACAGAAACGCGAAATAGAGGACACAAGTGGAAACAATGTGAAAGTACATTTAAAACCAAGGAAGCACTTCTTTACCCTAAGGATGGTGAGAGTCTGGAGCAGCCATGTTATTGAAGCCAATGACCTGGCTTCTTTCAAGAAAGAAAACAGACTATCATAAATCTTTAGCCGTAGGCACCTTAGCTATATTCATCCACTCATTTGGTGGCAACACTTCACAGCAGCACCTGCTCTGGAATCACACAGTAGATAACTGTACAAAGAATCATCATACAAGTCAGACACTGCAAAACTAATATTCACATCTACGAATTAACTGTGAATTTCAACTGCTGCACAGACCGGTCGTATAACTCTTAACAGCCTACAGCAAAGAAAAACATGTAACCCAATGAAAGCTACGTTTGTCTTCTGGTTTTGCCCATCAAGTGTCAGGTTTGATACATTTACTTTAATCAAGTTTCTCTACTTTTGTAAAAAGACAAATTTCCACCCTTTTGGACAGACAAGAAAGTTTTATCTTAAAAACACAACAAAGCCATTTGTTGTACTCAGGATCACACTCAGGATCTAGACTTCCTCTCTGCATCAATGCACCTATTAAATAATTCCACCAGTCATTAGTACCCCTATAGATTTTCAGATTACCACAGTTATAGATGCAACCTGTTATAGCAAATACACTGAACAATGTAACACCTTTGTCAGAATACAATGGTTCCGTCAGATCCATCCTCCATACCTGAGTTATTTTTGTTTGAACCGAGGAGACAATGGCGGAAGATACTTGTTTGTCTTTTTCCAGAGAGCCTCCCCTAGAAAAAATAAAAAAACACTTCAAAAAGAATCTTCATGAACTATTTATGTTGAGCATTCAACCGTGGAATAAAAACAGATGACTCACAACTAAATGCTATTTGGTTAACTGGCTTGAAAGCGGACATACTGAGGTCTAAACATGGGTACATAACAGGGAAGAACGAAAGGACATATTTTGCACGCTCTCTATAATATTTTACATTCACAGGGTTCTGTTTTCATTGATTTAATCTCTTTGCGCTGAATGTTCACAATGGAAAATGATATTTTGTGCAGATAAGTTATATACGTTCTTTTTTTAAAGAATCCAAGAAGGCCACATCTTACTGTTTCTGAAATTATACATTTTTTTTAATTTGTAAGCTTTGTACATAATATACTAATAATAGCAATTATAATAATAATGGTCATTATACTAAGAATTTCTTGTAAAGGACTTTACATGTGTGAGGAGACGCACTTCATCCACTGCTGAAATGCAGCAGCCCCACTGCACAGCACATCAGGTGGAAAAGTGAGAAATGACTTCTCCAACTACACTGGAGGGAATTTTATGAAGGTCAGATGATTCAAGCCTGAACAGGAATTTAGCCTGGATTTAGGAACGACTCCTCTACTCTTCCGAATAGCACCATGGGATCCAATGACAAAGTACGGGTCATGGACAAAAATATGGAAACACTAACGTAAAATCACTGGATAGGGCGTTGTAGATGGCGTAGCATCCATGAGTGTCTGGACGTTGGCAAGAGGGGTGTGACACCATTCTCCCTTGAGAAAGTCAACTAACTCATTCCTGGCTGGTGGAAATGGAAAGCACTCAGGTGTGGATCTGGCGACTGAGAATGTCATGACGTACAGATAGCATCAACATCTTGCTCGTCAAACCACTGAGCCACCACCTGACCTGTCTATGGGGACATTGTCATCTCGGAAGAGACAAATGCTGCAACGTGGGGTAAATTTGATCATCCGGCATCATTAAGTATAAATGATCATTGACCTTGACTTCTAAGGGAATGAGGGTACTCAAGCCATGCCAGGAAAACAGGCCCCACATTACAGAACCCTACTGCTGGAAAAATGCATACAGGGTTACAGAGTTCACTAGGAACACGCTGAAGGGTGATTCATCTGACCCTATCCCATCGTCTCTCCACTGCTCAGCAGTCCACCGCCTGTGCTCTTTGCACCAGCTGTAATGAACAGTTTGTACACTGTACGCATAGCCTGTGGATCAAGGCAGACCATTTTTGATAACCCGCTCCTGGTTAGCCACGGTGAAAAATGCAGCAAGCCGATTTGCAGGTGGCTCGCTTGTTTCGCCTTGCTCTTAGAATTCATGCTCATGCTCGAAAATCACAGTCCTGGAGTGTGTGATTCTATCCACTGTTGCCCTCTGCTGAGGATATCTTTGGCTCGGTATTCTATGCTGCCATCACCTTCAAGACAGTTGCTTATGAAGTACATGCAAGTTGGTCACTGAAATTTCTGCCAAACATACCCCAAAAATCATCCCTTGTTTAAAGTCACTGAGGTTTCCTAGTGCTGCCATGCCAGTTAAAATTGCAGGCAACCAGGCTTGCCCAGAATTTTTATATATGACCCTAAGTATGCTGGGATGTTATTTGCTTAATTAACATGAGCCATACACCTGTGTGGGAGCCCTTGCTTTCCATATTCTTAAAGTCCCTCATTTACCCAAGTGTTTCCATTTTTTTATCTACTACCTGTACATCAATGTCTTGGTTTAACATCTCTTCTGCAGGATGGCACTGAGGCATCAGTGTAGAAATTCTGATCATGAGTGAAGTGTGTCACCTACTGGTCTCTTATCCCAGTACAAGCTTTAATTCCGAGAGAACTGAGAAAATTAGATAACAAGGTGCTAATACGATTCACTAAGCTGAGAAAAAAAACATTTCTAGCCTTAATGGGGGGAAATAAGGTCCACAATTACAGCACGATTGGGAGCTATGGAAGATCTCAGAAATGCCTGTGTGATTTCAAGATGGAAAGAATGGCTGATTCCTGCTGTACCTGGATCGCTCCTGACTGGAATCCCTGCTGCCTGCCGGAGAAATGCTGGTGGAACGTGCTGATGCTGGCTTCTTGTGTGAAGCTTGATTAGGTGAAGATGAAGGTGAGCAGGACTGGGCTTTAGATTTTATCTGAGATTTTGAACTTCGTTTTCTCTTCTTTTCATGTGGAGATCTGATAAAACGGTGGGGGAAAAAAAGCTTTAAACTTAAGGCAGTTCGGAAATAATCTTGTGAATGAGCATCAAATCATTTAAGACAAAAATGCTAGATTCTTGATGGTCAATTCACCATGTGCATTAATGTAAATGTTTCTGATGTCCTGTCACTCCAGATGAAGGACATTTTGACTCTCTGCCTGTTGAATTTCCAAGGTGTGTGAAATGTGGAAATTTCTCCAAGAAACCAGATACTTAAGCAAAATTATGAAAGTCATTAAAGTCCAAAGCAATTTACAGTTCTCTCCATCTACCACATATCCTGAAGCACCATCGTGCCACCTTGTTCCCAATTTCAATTACAAGGAATGACATGAATGCTTTTAAAAGAAAGTGATAATCTGGACCTTCGTACATGTATAAAAATAAGAACTGCAAAGCTAACATTGACAATCAGAACCAAAGATATTAAGACAGTATGACATTATACTCCTTTTATTTGTGGTACAGCTTGTCACCTTTAATTTAGTCTTTTCACCAAAAAGCTCATTCATAAACTGAGTACCTACACCTTAGATGACAAGTTCCCAACCATGTTCTGAATTCACTGATCCATTCAATGCCCTATTACTTTCAAAACAATTCAGTATCTTGTAAAAAGAAATTGACATTTACTTTAATGTTTTTTGTGAGAGGAAAACAACTGAAGAAAAACAGGCATATTACAAAGGGCATATAGGAAGGATTTTTACTTTTCTCGTTATACTGCGTTGCTTTGATTTACAAAGCATTTGTTGAAAAGGAAAACCTCAAGCAACATACTGCAATGCAAATCTTTTTTTCTCCAGCCTCCAGGGGCACTGACAGTATTTTCTGCATGTGGGATGCGACATCCTACATCATCTCGTTCCATATAAAATACCTACCTGTGCCATTTTTCTGATCATTTAAACAATTGGACTCATTCCTCTTCAGAGACAGCAGGAATTGTGTAATAGCACAATTATGTAAGTTGTTTTTACTGCACATGCAACTTCAGAGCTGTTGGTAACTAACTTATCTGAGGATCTAATACAGCTGTTTCTTGAAAGAACAGATGGTATTGGCTCCAATAAGAATTAAAATGGCTGAGTGGCGTGTTCCAGACTCCCACAACCTTTTGTGCAAAGAATTAGCTTTAGATTTTTCACGTCTAAATGCAACACTGCATAGCTGTACTTTTTGTATGGTGGTGACCACAACTGAACTCTAGATTCTACTATATACTACCTGCATGTAATACACTTTTTATATTAAATGTATTCTGCCATACCAAAAATGACCTTTGCAGAAGCAGTACTGTTAGCTAACCCCTATTTTGGGATCATTTGTGCACTCTTTTAGTTTACCCCCAATTTCAGCTTTCACAGGTGTCTTAACGTAATAGAAGTATGACTAACTGCTGAATAATTGCTTGATTCACCTGACAACCTTTAAGGATGGGTGCTATATTAGCAATTGTGCTGTCAATAGCTACTACCATTATCATGAATGACTGTAAGAACTGGCTTACGAATACCATCACTTAGTTCTGTTTAAGTACAACTGGCTCTTAATACTATCAGGCCCAAGATATTCTGGTGTTTCTAATAGTTTTAGCACTTCTACCTCTTGATGCTAGTATTCATCAGATTTAAAAAGTAATTTATTCAGACATTTCTCATCATAAAACTTCCCCATTTTTATTTGAGATGCTTCACTTTATCCTTTATTGTTCTCTTGCTTTCTTAGTGTCAGAAATAAATATTTTAGCCTATATTGTAATATTCATTATTTTGCACCTGGTCTTGATTTTTACCCATGTCTGCCCTTAATATATTCATTTTCTTTGATTGCATCCCATTCTTTTTTAGGCATTTTAAAAACTGCTATCTTTTTGCATTGATTTTTCTTAACTGATTTCTTAAACCATTCAGGTCACTTTCTATCATTGTATTTACTTACCCCTGGAATGAATCTGTTCTTTCCCTCAGGCAGAGCATCTTCATACTGTTTCCATCCATTCTCTAACAAAACCATATTTATCCTATCCCATTCTACTTCTCTTCAACTCCCTTTCATTCCTTCATTGTCTGTTTTCCTGAAATTATAAACCTATATGGTTTGGGAGTCTACTTGAACAGTTTCTAAATATACCTCAAAACCTAATATATTATGATCGCAGTTCCCTAAAGGTTCTCTCACCTCTTCTTTCCTCCCTGTATCTTCTTGTTTGTATCAAAACACTAGATCAATACAGGCATTCCCTCTAGCAGGTGCTCTGACAAACTGAAAGAAGCAGTTGTTAGCTATATCTACCATTTCAGTTTCAGCTACTGACATCCCCGATGGATTTTCCATGATTACAATGGGAAAAAAAAAAAACATTATAAGCACTTCCTTTACACATATGTTCTGTATTACATTTTTAAGACTGCACTGTAATTAATATCTGAATTTGATGGTCTGTAGCAGATCCGAAACACTAGGCCCTTTGAAGGATTTTATCTGCAAGTCTGACCCTTCAGGATTGAGATTAATGTCCTGTGCTTAAAATGTACTTTTGGATGTACAGAGCTAAGCTTGCATCTCGTCCATCTTTCCTTTCTCTTTGGAATGCTATGCATCCACTAATGTAGTATTTGTCTCCATTACTCTCGGCTGGCCATGTTTCTGTGATCCCAATTTCAGCATTTAATTTCCTGCAGATTCTGTTCTTTTCTGTTCTTCTTGAAGCAGCCAAATCTTTTCTCGTATTTTGCTCCTAATGCGGCAGTCCTCGGACTTGGGTATAAGTATTTAATGACCTGGTGCTTTGACACTGCTGTTCCCCAGGCTGCTCTGTTTTTGGCTCCTTGTAAAAAGGATCAGATCCCGGCCTCGTTGGGCGTCCCCTCTTGTTAAAAAGTTTTTGAACTTCTCCGTAGATCCTTGCCCCGAGCCAACACATTTCAAAGTCACTCAAAACAGGGACGCAACACACTTTCACCCAATTTTCTCAACACATTGTTCTTACGGCAATAGAATAGGCCAGAAAGAAATGGACCCTGAAATTTCTATTTTTATAAGACATTAAATATAGCGGTGTCAAAACCATTTCCTGTAGGACTACATGTTTTTTTTAGTCAGTTTAGTTCTAATTACAAGCTCAATTAGCCATATTATGAATTTTTCCAAGGCTTTTAACAGTTGAAATAAAAAAGATGCACTTCATTGAAGTAGGTATTAAAAGAAATTGTTCATCATGGATACCTACCTACATTTGTTTTTGCTAATCAATTGGTGAAACTCAGCTAGTGTGTGTCTGTGTGGAACACAAGCCAGAAGATGCTGTAATAAAGCCTGTTTTTTAAATATAATGTTTGCAAGCACATATAATTGGATATTAATTCCGGCTTTTTTTATACACCCTGTCAGAAATGGCAACAAAGTATTTCAGTCAGAAACACACAATTAGAGCCTCTCTTAAGAGTAAACAGTCAAATGGAACTGCTTTGCAAGCAAGCTCTAGCATCAAGAAATGACCACAGCCCACTTTAACATAAATAGTCCAGGTATTATTATCATCGACTTGAGTGGATTTAAGGAATCAGACATAAAATAAGTGTTTGAAAACGAATATTTTCACATTATTAACCATTTTGCAGGCCCTTTCCATTGCTAACTGGGTCAGACATCAAGTACTATATATACGTGTTCCTCATAGTTCTGTGTCTATACAAAACATACTAGTCACCAAAATTTGAAAGGATACATTAAAAATGTATCTACATATTAAACTACATATTAAAATAATAATTGCTTACGCTTATATAGCATTCTGCTGGACACTCCACTTAAAGCGCTTTACTGGTAATATGGACTCCACTCCACTAGCACCAATAAGCAGCCCCCACCTGAATGGTGTAATGGCAGCCCTAGCGCACCAGTATACTCAACACACATCAGCTATTATAATCAGTATAATATATTAATCAACTATTATAAATTAATTTCTCTGCTTTTTGGTTTATATTATTCAAGAAGGTATTGTGCTCAGGATTCATTGCACTCAGGAAACAAAACCTTGCTAAATGCTTTACGAGTTTTCCTGTGTTAGTGAAATATGTCCCTAACTGAAATACAGATCCTTAGGTTTACCTGAACTTTAAAACAGAGTTTGGAAATGTTTATTTGCTTAAACGTGGTACAATAAAGCTTAATAAACTATGCATAAGACACTTGAACCATGAAAGATGAAAGCAGCATTATTTTAAACAGACCCAGAAAACTCTGAGGTTCAAGAGAAGAAGGATTTCATTCTTTGGTCTGCCAGTTAGCTGTTTTGTCTCGCAAACTATCCAGAGAAAAAACAGAAAACTAAACTCAACCTTTAGCTGACTTCAAAATATAGACTGGTAGACTTTCCAGTAAACATGCTGTAGAGAAAATTTACATTATGTTTGGTCACTATTGAGAAAAGTGGCGCCCAGCACCATTCATCTTTACTTTTGGAGATTACAATGAGTCTCTTCTATGGTGTTACTTCCAGGCCCAGTATACAGCAAAATGTGTTAGTCTATGCATATAATTTTCTTGTCTGACGTTTTCTAAATGCCAGCAATAATTCTTTACAGATAAGCTTGAAGCTTTCTGAAGCATGACCTGCACTGAGACCTGCTTTAGTCTCCTGTTCAATCACTGTTCAAAACAGAAAGGAAATGTGAATTAGGCCATTAAGAGGATTCTTCATCTTGAGAAGCACTCACTCTATTATAGTTTTATAATATGATATTTGACACAAACTTAAAAATCACTCTGATACTTAAAACTACGAACCAACTAATATTGTCTAGAAAAAGCTTTATATAGTGCAATCACAGAAACCACATTGCTAAAGACTGAGTCAAATGATTTGTAACTAATTTTGATATTAAGAGACTGTTTACCATAATAAGACACTTTCTGACAAATGCATGTCAATGTCGTTCAATTGGATAATTGTGAAATTCCACATATTAAAATGAATTTAGTTCAACGCCTTCATATCAAGAATGAGCATGGGGGAATCAGACTTTAAGAAGCACCAAGAAAACTGCCCCTTAGTCAGCTGTAATGGTTTAGTAATAAATAATAATAAGACTTTATATCATGTAGCACCCTTTAAAGTGGCTTCTCAAAGCACACAAGGAGGGAAGACAGCAGAAGTAACAATTACAACCAGCACTTGGAATGCAGTAGGAATATAAAGGGTCAGACACAGAACCAATTAAATAAAAGCCCTTCAAAAGGTTTTGAGCCTTGATTTGAAAGTGCTCAGAGAAGGTGATACTCTGATATCCTTAGGGATATCAATTCCTAATTCCAGGAATTCTAGATTTAAATCCATTTCACAGTGCACCACTGAAACAGAGATAACGTCATAGCAAGTTCATATAAGTGAAAAACAAGTGCCCTTATCTCATTGAGCCCAGTGCTGATCTTACGACGTGTATCCATTTGTCTCAACTGATGTAAAACAAGCTTTGCAAGTACATTTTAGCATTCACACAACAAAGACCATTTATAGCCCAATTAGCACTGAAAAAAGGAGATGTGAAAATGTTTAAAAATAAATGCTTCCTAGTAATTTCACAGGTGTATAACTGAAGTTGCATAGATAGCAAAATCATTATTCAACAGGCCTACATTTTCTGCTGTTTTGGACTTACTCTTCATGCGTTTTCATGTGAAATATCTTCATGAAACACTAAGTTTTCACAAGGGTCTCAATTTATTTTCAAATGAATTAAATTTCCAAAAGCATTATAGCATTTCAGTCCTATGAAGATATACTGTCAAATGTCCAAGACCATACCAAGAAGACCACAGCTTTGCAAAAATGTACTGAAAAAAGGAAAAGCCCTTTTTTTTACCTTGACCTTGACCGTTTCTTGCTAAAGCTGGGGTTGTTACTGATCCGATATGCAGTTGGGACATAGCGCTCTCTCTCCCTCTCCTCACGTCTTCGCTCTGGAGAACGAGCTCGTCTCCTGCTGGGTGATCTCGACCTAGATCTAATCAAACAAATATACAGTGAAATTGTTGACTAGATATCTTGGGCTGGCGTGTTCAATATCAAACATACAAAACTCATAAAAAATATACATCATTTGCATACAGTGCAATTGATCCCCAAGGATGTCAAAAATCTCACATAAAGGAGACTCCCTGCCATCCATTACTTAAGTACATTATGCATGGACAACATCCCGAATGTACTGATGATTTGATGGAGAAGTGAGACATTACCACCTGAATTAAGGCGAAAATCAGAAAGGCCAAACTGTAGAAGCCCAGAGCAGAATTGAGCCAGGCCACTGCGGTTCACACACCTACAATTACAATCTGTCTGACCAAACCAAGACCTCAGTTTAACCATTTAATCTCATGCAAAACACTGCACCTCCTACAGCGCAGTGCTACTGTCCCCTTACTACAGAGCTATGGCAGCAATCTAGCTTTCCTTAGAGATCAGTACCAGTACTCACCAGGCCAAACCTAGATGAGCTTCCAAGATTTGACAAAATCACTTAGAAGATGGTAATGCTGTGTTTAGTTTTTAATCTGTGGCTCTTCTTGGAGTTATGTATTTTCCAAGTGACATGCCCTTGTTTCTTAATCCTAAATTTATTCATTGCTGTATAACAATATTTACAGGCAGTGGGACTTTGAAGTCCCATTAGGGGTGTCTCTGCTCCCGTGTTGAATGTACCCATGAATATTCTGATGTTATTAGTTTGTCAAATGATTGTTTTATTAGATACATAAAACTATTAGTTTTATGATTTCCAGGGATGATCAGTGCAATACATTCATAGAGTAATGATTCATCTATAACCAATATCTCAATGTAAAAATCAGTTATTTTTTAATTTACACTAAGGAAAACTTTACAGAGCATTCATCATGAATGTGGCTGAGGTTAAATTTTGTAAGTGTCCCACAATTCACATCACACTTTAGGAGACAAACTTTGTCCACTGTCCACCTCAATTCTTTAGTCTCATGTCTTCTGACATTTTGCAGTCCTGGCAGGGCAGAAGCCCAGATTCATTCAGCTCAGAGAGGTTTTCTACTGGCAAGACCTTCAAGTCCCAACAGGACCTAAAGGGTTAAGTGTCATCTCTGCAGCAAAACATTTTTTTTTATTTTCTTCCCTTAAGTATTAGTTTAGCGATGAATATAAATAAACTAACTTATTTTGTATGAACAGTTTTCCACTAAAGCTTAGATTTATTTTTAAGTGCCTGCAATCACTCAAGGTTATATAAATTGAGATGGGAGCTTTTGTAATGTGGTTATAATGAGAAAAACACTTATCTTAGGTGTGAGGTAAAATAGTGTACTTCCACCTAGTTCTTTCAAAACTAAATTAGAGTATCTTTCATTTATGTTTCTTTTAAAAGCCTGAGGGTTGATATTTTTCTATAGATTTTACACAGTCATGGACTTCTCCTATAAGAAACTTATTTACCACTGCTGTCATTGCTTGATCTTAAAATATTTCATATTTTTCCTCAATGATTCCATAATGCAGTTTGGGGCGTGACAATGTATTTACATACTGAGGTTTTTCGCAATTATCTGGGACTGATCAAATCTCTTTTTTTTCATATTTAATGAGCCTGGGCTATGCCACTAGCAGACTGTGTCCAGGGTTTCCCAAACAGCAGTGCAAAAATGGCTGTGTGCAGCTGAAGCAGAAAATATGGTCAATCATAGCATCCTTATCTAGCTGTATCCAGAGTGACCACAATTGTAACTGTGAACTTGTTAGTTCAAGCTCCCTTTGCCTCTCTTCAGCACTAGCACTGCTGTAGGTGCTCCAGGTTCTAAAGAGGAAAACCAGGGTTATAATAGTACAATATTTGATATATGCGACTCGAAGTTAAGAAGTGGAGGAAACAACAGGACAGGAAAAAGAGGATTAACACTGTTCCTAACAAAAGTGTAGAATGGGGATAGGGATCTAAGACAACTTGGAGACTGATCTAAGAAGCTCCAGGACTGAAATGCCAAATCAGGTAGGCTAAAGGACATTTTTCATTTGGCCGCATGAGCCATAGCTGTGACTTGCATTTTAGAAACCTTAAGTGAATTACACAGATGACAAAGGCACCCTGATCACAACAGCTTTAGTCTGCGTGAGTGTGAACGCTCGCCTCAGAGTGAGGATGTAGCCTATTAAAAATTCAGTCAAGCTGGAATTTGAATTTGCACAATGCAGATTCTAAAATACTCAACTTAAATTGTCTACCATGCAATACTGAGCAATGATTCAGAGGCTTTTGGTAACATCTGTACCATATTCAGTTTTCATATTTCATTGACTTTGTGGAAAACAAACTAACAAACTTATCATTCCTTCAAATCAAAGCAAGACTCCAAAGCAATACTTGGAGAAGAAAATAAACCTTTGAGCAAGAGATAGACTACTACAGGTTCAGCAGTCCTGCCATACATGCCAGAGTTTGGCATATGTGTACTTAATTATTGTCAACAAAAATATGGGTTAGATATTTGAAAGATTCAACCAGTGTTTATTGAGGTAGCCCCCTGTATTTGACATGACACCTCCTTCTTAAGCAAGGTACAATTTGAAAAGCAGACAGTGCCTTTTAATGGCACTCTGCCCAAAAACATTAATGACCCTGGACTACACACTAATGTATCAAAGGCAACATTAAAAACCTGACAAAAGCAGCTGAAAAAATTACTCCAAATACACTTATTTCATGGAAATGACAAAATAATCAGTACTTTCATATAAACCATCCCTGTGCTTAAAAATACTTAACAGAGCTGCCTTTATACTGAAACAATTTCCAAAAGAAAGGAAAATTGATTCTTACATGAATACAAACAAATCTTTATTCCAAAAGCCAAGTCCATGTATGACTCAAGACTATGACAATCGGCATGTATATTTAACCAAATCCAAGCTAAATGCTTCACATATTCACATTGAAAGAGGACAGGTCAACTCGCATCCTGTCAGCCTGTCCTACAGTACTTCAGCAGTTTACAGATGTGACTGAGTCCGCTCCATTATTGTCTGTGCCTGATGTTTTCCCTTTTACATCTTAATTTTAATAATTGCACGCTGGCCTAAGAGCAACCCGTAGCAATAAAACCTGAACAGGAAGCGACATTTTAATACGGCTCTGGTGTCTAATGGAGATGCAGAGGTTGCCATTATAAGGCTGTCATTATTTATGAGGTTTATATTGAGAAATTAAAGTCAAGTTGTAGATACTCCTGAACCAAACTGACCCTTGAAAATGGGGTTCAAAGACCCTTTCTAAAAAATCCATTATCACACTGTCAGCATAACGTGGGATGTAATGCTGTATTTTTGACAAAGTTTGCATCATGATCAATTAATATATGAAGCTGTCATGGTCTTTACAGTGCCCTCATTAACCTTGAGGCTGTCTCTTGATAGATTTAACAGAAATAAAGTTCCAAGACACTACCAGGCCAAAAGGAAAATTAAAGGTTAATTTAAGAAAAAACTTTCCATGATGCTTTGTAACATGTATAATGCTATACTTTGTGTTTAGGTAAAGTACACTTTAATGCAAAGATAAATGAAAATAAACAGGAATGTCTGTTATAACAGAAAGAAAAATACATGTTTTTTAAATCATACTTCACAAGGTCAGCATGTTTGTAAATAGCTTAGCTTATCTTTTAAAATGAGCTACGGTTTCACTCAAGAACATGTGTTTTTTATTGATTAAGTAATTCCTGCTTATTATTGCTTGAAGTTAATAATTAAGCAGTCAGTGTTGCATGTGAGAACAATTCTCAGATTATGACCATCTTTAAGCTTCTATTAGCCAGGTGCCAACATGGATGAAAAGAAATGTGTTTCTCTTCAGTTTGATGGCTACAAAGCCCACATGTAATTTTACAGCATGACTATGTTATGAATATCAAGCAGAATCAGCTGAAAAATGACAGTCTACAATTGGGTTATAAATAGAAATTAGGTTACTGGCAAATCTGAAAACGATATTTAGATAATTAGGTACACTAATTCAAAGAAAAAAGGCTGGGGTTCTTTGAATTATAAGTGTAAAAGCTTGTCATTTATTGATAATTACTGTACTACAAAGGCAAAATGCTGGATCAGTGACTGTGATGGAATCTAACCTTCTGACTTCATCAAATCCTCACTAGCTAACACTTGATCCCTAATGGTTCTTCAACCAATTATTTACAAGATTCTGGGAGAATCTCTAAAACATCTGTCATTTATGATTACGGCATTGACACTGCAGTCACACAAAATATTGACAGGTACCATTGGGGAAAATGTATCCTGCCATCATTAAGGTATTCATTTCAGCTTTTCTAGATGGAGAAGACCACCATTCAATTTTTTTTTCCATCTTGCAATTAAATTCAGACCATATCACAGAAAGCAAATGCATTAGACACTCTAAAATATTTCAATCTTATCTCAGAAACCGATACAGATTCTACTTCAATTTAAGCTTTTTTAATTACATAGGTGACTTAAGCAACAAAAAAGAGGAAATAATTTAATCTTTGCAAATTACATTTTAGCCAGTCAGGCTGATATACACACAGAATAATTACCACTTCTCTAGCAGCTGAACATTACAGCACTGAAGGAAAAAATAATGAAAAAAGGATGAACCAAATATCGATCTACAACTATGATCGTGCAAACAGGATTTCTTTCATGGTGTAGTGATCCTTACTGCTGCTCCTGGAAAAGCACAGGCTTGCATATCATGATGCTGCATTTAGCTGCGGTGTATTTTTGGGCCTCCAGTCTCACTCAAAGACAATCTATGGAATTAAACATTCTGCGACATACATTACAGTGAAAACAATAAAAACAGCAGATTTTTTTTTTCCTCAGGTGTGACCAAAAACAACCTGAATAGTTGAATTCTGTTGAAGAACAATGAAAGGGCCAGGACAATTACCCTGGCAAGCTGCGTCCATCATGACGGCTACAGTATATGAATTAGGTCCGCACTACTGTTGCTCACTATCCTGCACAGGAGATGAAAGCACAGGCAGAGGAACGGAGCAGCAGTAGGTATGTTTAAGGTGTGCATATTTGTTCATAATGAAATGCAAATGGCAAAAATTACAAAAATAAATGTTGGGGTATTTAGCTCAAAGTAAATAGGACTCTGAAATTAACGCATTGAGCTCTATTATTAAACAAGTTTCTACATCCCAGCTTATCAGAAAAGGCTTTCCCTCTATATTATGACATTGCAGAATCTGACATTATGGTGTGAGTGAAAATATTGCCGCAAAAACGCAAAAAACGAAGTCAGCATCTACTATGTATTCAATAAAACAGGAAAGAACAGTGAGCAATGAATTGATATAATTGATTCACTTAAGTCATTAAAAGCTCAGCTGGATCCCCAAGAAGGTGTCACTGTTGTAGGCTTGACCTTGAGTGACCTCATACTACCAAGATCTGCTTTATCCTTTGTCAAGACAAGGTTGCTTGCTGTCTGTGTGAGTGAGGCCTTCTGGCTTTATCACCAGATACATATGTTAAACACTTGACTAAAAATGAATATATTCTAAACAAACGAGTTAAGAGTCTCCCTTTGGAGACAAGATGATTGAATGCCTCCTGCATGATGGATGAGCACGGACCTGTGCACTGATAGCTCCCCTAGAAAAAAACTGAAAAGGATGAAGTTTAACTTCAGGTGGCTCTCTAGTTTGAGGGAACTGGACTCACCTTGACTTTCGGACTGTCCTGTAGGCGCTGGGGAGGGCGTGTTTGGCTTTGGAGCGGGAACAGGATCGAGATCTGGAGTGATGCCGCGTACGGGACCTCGACCGAGAACGGGACCTTTTCTTGTGCTTCTTCTTTTTCTTCTCCCTGTCGTGGGCATCGGAAGACTCGCGGCTTTTGCTTGCTGATTTTTCAGAGGCCTTTGACTCAAAGACTGTGGAAACTTTTGAGGCGACAGGTGTGGCAGTAGGCACAATGCTGATCTCAGGCAACTGGCGAAGACACAAGAGACATGAAATTCAATTTTAGAGTTCAGTTCAAAAACAAAAATGGATTAACTACATGTGTATTGAAGGAAAGTGCAGAAAACATACTGTCACAATATTGGGATTTATTATAAGAAGTGAGGAACTGAAGCCAAGGCTCCAGAGCACTTACTCAAGAAATTGCTGCTACACAATTTACCTAGGCTGCTCCAGCAAACCTAACTGTACAGAAGAGTTCTAACACTGTACATGTGATAAAAGGCGAAACGTTTGCTGGTTTACCAATTTAACTTACCCGCAAAACATTCAAAGACATCACAGGTCCTTTGAATAGCACATTTAATATGTAATCCCAATTCACCCACCAGAACACAGTAACTGTGTAGTATCTAAGAATATGTGCTAACTTAAGTATTAATACATTCATGTTAGGAAAATATCCATCACACGCTTGGCAATATTTTATCTATGGGGCAGTGTATATACACGATTCTTCTAAATTTAGGATCGACATTTAATATACACCCCAGTGTGCAATAGTCAGTTGTGTGTTTGTCATGTCTTGGCTCAGAGCTACAAAACCCGTGACCGAGGAAGTGGAGGCAGACTCTTCCTCTCGGCCCACCTACGAGCCGTTCGTCTCGTTAACACGTCATGGGCTACGCAGCGGAGGTTTGTGCGAGACCCAGGCTCAAACTCGTGATCAACCTTTCCCAACTGAACCACTTGGGAGGCCTCCGTAGGAAGGGGGGTTTACCACCGTTTCCATGTTTGTAGCTAATGAAACACTTCCAGGTCTTATACAGTTACATGAGCTACTGAAGTGAATAACTGAACCATTTTGCTACAGAGGAAAAGCACCCAAATTAGATTCTGTACTCTTCTGAGAATCCCTTCTTTTATCTCCTTTCACAACCCTAGAAGACATGGCATGAGAAGGACCTTTCGCATTTATGTGGTTCAGACATCATCAGACAATCTCTGGTTGCTTTATCTAGCAGGCAGAAAGGCAACTACTCCCTTCAGGGGGTATTATTTTTTATGCGAGAATCAAACACACATTTTGCAATCTTTTGTGTTTATCTGACATTTATTGTGAAGCAAACAGGTTAAGTGTTAAGGTTAAGAATTTCTCACAGAGCTAGTGTTCTGTGACAAGCAGGACTTAAGTAACTTAAGAAACAACTAAACATAATTTTTCATTTTGTAAATCATCTTAACAAGGAAAATAAATACTGTTAAATGTCAAAGGGGAGCAATTTTCTCATAGCACTTGTAAGTTCTCCCATGAGTCACTTACAGTACTATTCTGCCACGCTGGATTTTTAAAATTTGTCCCAATTAAATTTTCACACAGTTCACATATCGTAGTGGGAATGACTTCATCTTCCTCATGTGACACATTAACAGTGCTATACTGCAAAAAATATAAAGACAAATGCTATCTGTTTTCTGGAAAACTTTTCTTTTACAACAGCTCTCATATTCTCCACATTCTATATAGGTTTTAAACAAGATAACTGAGCCTCAATTTTAAAAGCTTTCAGTTAAAAATAACTGTAAAGACTGTCAGGCTTATCCCTGAGGCTATAGGAAACATGTTGATTCCCCACATCTGTTCAGATGAGATATCTGAATCCACCAGCTCTTACCTTCTTAACATAAGATTCATGAAGGCAATATGGAAAAAAAAAACCTACAAAGAGTAATACTCAGTTACAGCACTGAAGTCGAAAGTCTGGGTGGTAAGTTATTATGTACAGCATAACATTTCATGAGCTATGGACTCAAGTTTAGACCATGACTCTGTATGTATTTAATCCCATTTACATGAAACACTTGAAGAACACAGCACTAGGAGGACTCTTTGACTAAAGAGCTAATTAAATACTCTGACCTGAGAAATACAGTACTTGCACAGGCTAGAACACTCTTCAGGCCTCTAAGCTTACACACTATTAAGGACTAAAGTTCTGAAATTAACCACATAAATGCATCTTAAATTAAAATACATAATGGATGGGTAGTATTGTACAGAAAAATTAAAGTTTACTGCGGGTCTCTGAAAACTGACAAATATACATAAACCACTTGTCATGTAAAGAGTAATCAAGTAATTCAATATTAAACAAAGTATGCCAATTTAAGGGAAAAAAATCAACAGTATGTAAAAATATCCTCAATTTGAATCATTTTAATTGATCATTAATCTTTCTCAGGTTGCTACAGCCTCACTATTGACTTGGCAAATGAGGACACTTTGCAGGATAGCTGTGCAAGATATCCAAGGTCATCAAAACTACCCAGAGGCAGGAGCTACCCCTGGAATCAGTCGCTGCAGTGCAGGGCTCCTGCAATGCCTGGAACACAGAGTGTTCAACACTCCTCTGGTAAGTGCTACCAAGTTGAGTGGAAGGGAATCTTCTGTTCAAGAACAGTGACTGACTACAGCTGGGAATCGCACCAGGAGATGCCGTGAGGACTAAACTCCTGTCTACCAAGACAAACTGCTGAAATGACCAAGGGGTGAGGAAGAGTGTGGCGGCGCTTTTGTAACGATGCATCTACCTGTTAAACTGTACGGCCTTTTCTTCTTTTACCAGTTTCTTTGATTCTAAAGTTAAAAAAAAGGATGAGGAATGCCCACTGGGAACTAAGCTAAGACCATCTCATTTTGTCTCTCAACACTCTGATGAGAGCTGAACCAAACCAGTCAAAGGACAAAGCACAAAGGCTCAAAAGACTTGATTTAATATTTTCTCCCTTCATTGTGCACATGCAGAGAGCAGAATTCATCTGCTGCATTCTCCATTATTTTTTTTACATTATAAAGTATGTGATATTAAGAGGCTTAAATGTAAACTGATGCAACTCTCTTCCTGGAAAATAAATGTCTAAAGCACATTAAAATGTTTCTGCATACATTGTGAAGTCAGAACTCAGAAGCTAGCTATGAGCTTTTGAAATTGATATTCCTTTTAAAAAGACCTTACCTAGACTTTTGAATATATTCCTGAAACGTCTGAACAAAGTGCTTTATTTTGCATTATGAAATGCATTGAAGAGGGAACTAATCTTTATTCTTCTTTGCTATGTCGGCTTCCCTGATTTCAAAACCTCTCCTCTGCACCAGAACTGACCCGTGCTATCAGAACTGATTCCATAATTTCATTACTGCCTCTCCTTAAGACTCCAGCTCTTCTGCCCTGGGATTTGGACTGTGACCTGCACAGCTGCCAATCTAACTCTGAAACAAGTCAACCACAACAGTATAATACCAGAAAGCATGCAGCCTTGCCAATCTTTCAAATACCACTGTAGGAATGCATCTTCTCCTATAGCATTGCACACAGACACATTACATTAACTCTTTTACCATCACATATTAAGTGTCCAGAAAACAGATAGGGCTTAACAAAAATATATTAGATGTACTTTGTAGCTGAAGCAGCAAAACACTGAATAAGATTACATCATCTTATTTGACTTTCATAAGCATTTCTTCTCTGTACCTGGCAAGAGCCACAAATTTTGTCAGGCATTTAGACAGATCATTCTTTGACCTGTTACAAATAAAAGACAGCACTGAGAGCTTAATCTCATCTGGTTTTAACTCAGAATATTAGGATATTATTCTCTGGAATGGGACACGTGTTAAGTTGGAGTGCCAGATGATGAAGGGATTTGCAGGGTCTTGAAAGCTTGCATGTTAAATTTCCATTACCATGCATATGGTCCAATAACAGAATTACAAAATTCTTGTTTCGAATCAGCAGGTCCAAGCTTGTGTTGCAGGATCTTTTTTGGAGTAGGCAGAGAGAATCTTAGAAGAAGACTGTCATTTAAGACACAGAGGAAACCCTCTTAAAATTCTCTTTGAGTCACAGACTTCAATAATAAGTTCAGCTATTATATAACTATCAATTTATTTCAGCAGACAGTTTTTTGTTGGGAAGGTCTTCTGTGGTTTTCTTGGCTGAACTGGCGAAATGTGTGGCTGGGACATATAATCTGACACGTCACAATGTGTGAACTTTCGGATATTCAGGACATTCATGGGGCACCGAACAGGATGTCCACTGGACAAAAAGGTTCAGGCCTTGCCTAGAAATTGGCAGATCTCTTAGCTCAAGGTTGAGCAGCATCCCAGAAAATGGGAAGGAGAATGCAAAAATTACTGCTAAACAAGCAACATAAATTAACGGTGCTTGCTTAGTTTGATAGGTAAATGCTTCACTTATGACAGTTCAATCCCTCTGTACTCTAATACAATCTTAATTTTAGAACCATTTAAAATATGAAAAAAGAGGACAACACAAACTAAGAATTTCCTGTGGTGCAATATCTAAATAAATTCAATAAGAGCTTTGGAAAAGTAATAGCTGTAATTAAAATCCAATTGCAAAGCAACTGGAAAAATTGAAAGTTTGTGAGCTATTTCTACATGCAGGCTTGAGTACAATTAAGTAAAATTATACAGTAAAACAGGGAAATCATTAAAGATTTAAAGTTGCTTGCACGTGTAAAGCAATTAAAGTCAATGGATCAAAAATGCTTTTCCACAACAAAAGGACAATATGACTTATTTTTGTTTCTGCATTCTATTTTAAAAGGACTATACTCATGTTTAAGTAGCTTAATATTCCAGCTGGATATAAATCCAGAAAGATAACACAAGACATACCAGGATTCAATAGCCATTGATAATATGCTAAATCCAAACGAATCCTGATTTCTCATTACTACTCTAGTATTAAATAACATGCACATTATCCTTCACTAAAACGCATTTAAAATAGAAAAAGAGATAAAAGAAAGTGGCATGGATTATTAAGCTTTCTTTGCTGTATTAAAATTACCTATGTGTAATAGAAGAAATTAGCTATTAAAACATCTCCACAGGGGAACACTGCTTTAACAAAAGCATGAGAAGTTTCTGCTTTTAATTCTGTGAAGCAAATTACAATACAAAGCACTAATCAAAATATTATGAAATGGTCTGTGGT